TCTGCGATCATCTTGTTTGTCTCACCCCACTCTTTTTGTCAGTCAGCTCGACTCACTCTTCTCACTGGATAAATGAAATCTGATCTGTGATGCGCCTGTCGTTCGGCACGCTGCATTGAGCATCCGCATTCAGTTTTTAATTGTAGTGTCTGTTCTTTTACTGAACTAAATGATTTTTATTACTATAAAAAAATCTAAACGACGGTGGGGGTCGGTGATGCGGTGGGCTTAACACCGGTATCACCATCAGCACCGTCTATCGCAGCAAGACTAATTTATAATGACCACAAATTCAAGACATGGGGGCAGAAAATGTATAATCATAGCCTAACACTTCATATCGTTCCTTTCACACGAAGAGTGCAGTTTTTTTATTTCTCCAAAAAATACTATGATTACAAATGTGATATTGATTTAAAAAAAATTTTTTTTTTTACAACAGTTCAATAAACAAGTTAATTAAGAGACTTACGTTTTAGACAGACTGTATAAAAACATGGACGTAGTGTCCGTGACGTCACCCGTTGGTTTCTGAAGAGAGGTTTGAAGCTCAAAGTGGGCCGCAGCCATCTTGACAGTGCATCACAGCACGTCACTCCTGGATAATTGAAAATGGGCAAAGAGGCGGGAGCTGGTTGCTGAAACCACGTCCACCTAGCTCGACGGCGGTGACAGAAGCGGCAATCCACCTGTCACTCAAGTGGCCACGCCCTTAATTATGCAGAACTGTAAGGCTTAACATAATTTAAGCGGATGAGTTATAAAAAAAAAATTAACCGCCAAAGTTGTCATGAAGGGCAAAATTTGCTATATAGACCAAAACCACTTTTTGTACCAGGCTGTAAAAAAAAATTTCTGCTGTAAAGTTGCCCATTTTAACATGGGGAGTCTATGGGACTGACTCCAGCCTCTAGCAGCCAGTAGATGAATTGCAGATTTAGGGTGCTTTCACACCTGGCCCATTGTTTCGGAACCTGGTGTTTCCCCCCCCCCTTAGCTCGGTTCGTTTGGGCATATGTGAACACAGCAATCGCGCCCGGATTCGGGCCAAAACAATCGGTCCGAGATCGCCTGAACGAGGTGGTCTCGGCTCGATTGAAAACTAACTCTGGAGCGGTTCGGTTGTAGTGAGAAAGCAATCCGATCTAACGGACCAATGAACTAGGCTGTATCACAATGTATAATGGGTAATTAATTTTTGCTAATATTTCAAAATGAACCTGTGAATGTCTGTGGGTGAGCATATCTTCGCCATTCAAAATAAAAAAGCAAATTTTTTCATTTTATAATGCCGACTTATTGCTCTTCTTCCTAGTAGGTGCATCTTAAAAAAAAATTTCCCGATGAATCCTGGACTCCTGCTCAAAATGATAAATTAACCAACGCATTTAGTAAAAGGGAGAAAGCTTCTGGTAATCTCCTTAACGGATTACACTGGGAAATTACTCCTCTATAAACAGCCAACTATCTCTGTGGGTCAAACCGGCAAGCACTTTTTCCCTGGCTACCAACACTAGTTCTGCAAAATTATCTGCTAATCTATGTAAGATACACAATGTTTATGTAGTAAGTGAGCTTAATGAGGTCAGCAACTTACTATGCATTGTACATTAACAGTAATATACTAGTGCTTGTTTAAACAGGACGGGGGGTAGTTTAAAATAAGAGACATTGGAAATGTCCAACAAAAAGTTGTCAAAGTAGTTGATATTATATTAACACAGCAAATACGGTAATATTGTTAATTCTGCACCAGTAACTGGTTTACAGTGCAACACAGTAGGTGGCAGTCTGTGCACACAAGGGTCAAGCTGAAAGTATACTTCTCTTTTCACATGTACGCGCAGGTCGCAAATGCGCATTGAATTTGTTTTGCAGTAATCAGTTGTGCCTCAAGGTGGCAACACTGTCCTGGGGCGTTGTTTCACAGTAGAAGATTAAACTAAAGTGACAGAACAAAATCAACAACAACAAAGGCTCACATTGACAAGTGCTTGTGAGCGAGAGGGTATGAGATAGCTCAGCTTTGGTTTAAAATGGTTAAAAAAATATTTATTATTATCGGTCATTATAACATACAGGGAAAAATAGAGCAGACACTAGACATGGATGAAGCTTTCTAGAGCATATGTGATGACCTCCTGCGTTTGCGCACAACGTCAAGTGGAGTATACTTTGAAAGGCTACGCATTTGACTGTACGCATACGCCAGGGGTGGCGAACTCCGGTCCTGGAGAGCCGCAACCCTGCAAAGTTCAGCTCCAACCCTAATTAAAACTCACCTGCCTGTAGCTTTCTAGTAACCCTTCAGACCTTGATTAGCTTGTTCAGGTGTGTTTGATTAGGGTTGAAGCAAAACTCTGCAGGGCTGCGGCTCTCCAGGACCGACGTTCGCCACCCCTGGCATACGCTAACGTACGAGAACAAAATGAAGTATACTTTGGGCTTAAGTGTACAGACTAAGTGTAGCCTTTCAAAGGATACTATTTGACAGTATGCGCGAACACAGGTGGGCGACACACTCCAAGTTTCATCTTTGTCCAGTGTGGGCACTATCTTTCTTCAGAAGTTACGACCGATAAAATAGTCTTCGTACCATTTTAAACTACACTGAATATAACCCAGCTATTGGGTTGTTTTGACCCAGCGGT